CGAAACTCCCGTGCCGGGAATGACACCAAATCCCCCACCCCGGCATCGCGCTCAACATCACCCACCAGCACCTCAACCCACCAAAACCCCAAACCCAACCAAGCACAAGCCGGTGCAGATGGGGGGGACATATCAGTGCCAAGTCTCCCACCTCGCTCACCAAAAAAACCCAGATTTTTCCAAGTTTTCCCTTTTTTTCCTTCCCAAAAAACCACAGATGAATCCATCTGCTGTCCCGGCACCTAAAAACCCACCATCCTCCCCAAAAACCCACTTGGCTGTTTTCAAGCTCATCAGGGCAGGGGGAAAAAAAAAAAATAAAAAAAAATAAAAGGGAGTTTCTTTTCTTCCCCGGCTCGCTCTGCACCAGCACCCTAAAAAGACCCGAGTGCTCACCGTAAAGTTTAAAAAGCCTCTTCCCCAGCTCTGCTCCCTTCCCAAGCTCGCTTCCCAAGCTCTGCTCGCTTCAAGGGTGGGAGCTGGACTGCGGAAACCCTTCCCCCAGCCCATCGCCCCAGAGCCATGCAAAGGCGGAGCAGAATTGGGACAATTTAAATGCTAAACCGGTTAAGTGGGGACAATCGCTGCCTTCCCTGGAAGTCAAGAGGAAGGGGCCTTTCCCCAGGCCAAACGGCTCCCGGCAGAGTTTCTGCAGTGGGTTACCCTGCGAGCTTGCTGCACGCTTGAGTCAGGAAGGCTTTGGCCGGGTGTTTTTTCCCCTGCGGGGTTTTCTGGTTTGGGGTTTTTTTTTTTTATTTTGCCTTGCAGGGAGAGCAGAGCCACAACGCAGGAGAACAGCACTGGTTCCTTCCCCCTCCGTGATGGTTCATGGCCAAGCGTGCAGGTCCGGCACGCTCACCACACACTTGAGCTGGGTGGGCTGTGGCTACAGCTACGTATTTTTTCCCTGCGTGGGTTTTGTTTTTTTTTTTTTGCCTTGCTGGGAGAGCAGAACCACGACACAGGAGGACAGTGCCGGTTTTTCCCCCTTCAGATCACATCACGACCAAGCGCGCAGGGTCCAGCATGCTTGTAGCATGCTTGAGCCGGGCAGACTACGGCCACGTATTTTTTCCCCCCACGTTGCTTTTTTTTTTTTCCTCCATGGGAGAAACCTGTGGCAGAGCAGATCCATGGTGCAAAATAGCACTGGGGTTTTTTGCCCACTCCGCGCTGGGTCACAGCCAAATGCGCGGGGTCCGTCCAGCGCGCTCACGGCGTGCTTGAGTCAGGCGTGCTATTGGCCATGTGTTTTTATCTCGTGTAGGTTTTTTTCATCTCTGGGAGAAACATGTGGCAGAGCAGAGCCACAACGCAAGAGGACGGCACTGATTTTTCTCCCTCCGTAGTGGTTCACGACCAAGCGTGCAGGGTCCGGCATGCTCCAGGCGCCCTTGAGTCAGGCAGGCTACAACCACGTGTTTTTTAGTTCGCATGGGTTTTCTTCCTCTCTGGGAGAAGCCTGCGGCAAAGTGGACCTGCAGCACAGGAGGACAGCGCCGTTTTTTTCCCCCTCCGTGGCAGTTCATGGCCAAGCGTGCAGGGTCCGGCACGCTCCAGGCACGCTTGAGTCGGGAAGGCTACAACCACATGTTTTTCCCCGTGTGGTTTTTTTTTTCCCCTTGCATGGCAAAACCAGAGCCACGATGCAGGAGGACGGCGCCAGTTTGTCCCTGCTCTGTGCTGGGTCATGGACAAGCACACAGGGCAGCGTGCTCCTGGTGCACTTCAGTCGAACAAGCTACACCTATGTATTTTTTCCCCCGCGTGGTTTTTTTCCCCCCTTCCTGGTAGAAACCTGTAGCAGAGCAGAACCACAACGCAGGAGAACAGCGCTGGTTTTTCCCCGCTCCATGCTGGCTCACAGCTGAGCACACAGGGTCTGGTGCGCTCCCGGTGCGCTTCAGCCAGGCAGGCTACAGCCGCGTGTTTTTTTCCCCGCGGGGTTTGTTTTTGTTTTTCCTCCCCGGAAGAGACACGGGGCACAGCGGAGACACGGCGCAGGAAGACGGCGCTGGTTTTCCCTCCTCTGTGCCAGGTCATGGCCAAGCGCACAGGGTTTGGCACGCTCCCAGCACACTTGAGCTGGGCAGGCTGCGGCTGTGTATTTTTTTTCCCCTCTGCATGGTTTTTATTCCTCACATGGCAGAACAGAATCACAATGTAGGAGGACGGCACCAATTTTACCCCTCCATGCCAGGTCACGGCCAAGCTCGCAGGGTCCCGCACGCTCAAGCCAGGCAGACTCCAGCCACAGGGGTGGTTTTTTCCCCCCCACCACGTTTTTTTGTTTTGTTTTGTTTTTTCCTTGCTGGCAGAGCAGAGTCGCAATGTGGGAGGACACCGCCAGTTTTTACCCCTCCGTGCCAGGTCACGGCCAACATTGCAGGGTCCAGCACGCTCCCAGCGCACTTGAACCGGGCAGACTCCAGCTGCGTGTTTCTTCCCAGCGTGGTTTCTTCTTCCTCGCATGGCAGAGCGGAACTGCAACGCAGGAGGACGGCGCTGGTCTTTTCCCCTCCGTCCCAGGCCACAACCAAGCGCGCAGCGTCCGGCACACTCGCGCCAACGCCACTTACGTGCAAAACACATTGCAGCCATGAAAAACAACTCAGAAGGGGAGCAAGCGCTCCGGTTTTCGATGTGAGAGGAATTCAGGGAGGATCCAGGAAGCTCCCAGGGCTTGAGCTGGGATCCCGGATAATTTCCTTCCACGGGGAAACCTCAAGCAATTGGCAACTTCCCTCCCCGGTGTTAACGAGCTCGTTTAGCAGAAAAGTGGCTTTTTTTTCCCCCATCCCGGAGACTGAACGAGCAAAGGACACGTCCCCCAGGGAGCTCTTCCATTTCTGCTCTGATGGTCATGGCTACAAGCTGGCAAATCCCGTGCCAAGGGCTTTCGTTGGGATGCAGGGCTTTACTGGCGCTGGGATCCTCAGGGAACTCAGCTGCGGGGTTGTCAGCGCTGTCGGAGGGGGATTTCATGCCGTTGAGCAGAGACGATCCGTGCGCCAACTCCTCTAAACGATGTGCCAAGGAGGGAAATCCAGTGTTGAGCCATGCCGGGATGAGCCAAAAGCTGCTCCAAGCGGCGCCGAGCCATGCCAGGATGAGCCGAAAGCTGCTCCGAGCGATGGTGGCACTGCTCTCACCTTCGTGCCGTACAGCGGCGGTGCCGGCTGGGCTCCGACCCCACTCCCTGCCATCGAGCTGCTTGGGAAGAGGAAACGTTCCCGGCACCGTGCCCGAACCCACCGCCAAACCCACCGGCACAGCCCATCCATGGCATGCAGTGAAACACCGTGGCATTGTCATCTTTACAGCCCCCCGCCGGCTCCGACACCACTCTGGCTGGTGGAGGAGGGAAGATTAAAAGCTCCCAGTGGACATTACGAGGTTGTCCATCGCCGGATGCTCGTTTAACCTTGGTTAACGAGCCCGGCAGAGGTCGGCCTCCTTCCACCAGCACAGGAACAGTGCCGGCGATCGCGGCACAGGTGAACCAGCACGGGGAACGGGTGAAGGGAAGAATTAGCAGGGGTCTGGATCCATCCCTGCCACATTCCCAGCCGGCGGATGCCAAATCCGTCACCGCTCGGGTACCGGGCGTCCCGGTGCTGCCGCCTGGCACCTGCTGCACGCTGCCTGTACTTACGCCCCTGCCAGTCCCGGATGCCTGGGTCCCCTCCTCAACACAGACCCCCCCCCTCTCCTCCAGACCC